TGAGCATCAACGAGTGACAAAGTGGCATTCACAGCAGGTTATAAAATCCTACTTCGCAAACCAATCATCGTTCTGTTAGTTACTTTTAATTCAACCTTTGCCTATTTTCATCTTTAAATATTTGCGTACATAACCACTGAAAAGAGATTTTCGTACCTATATCTTACAGTTTTTGTTTTGTTTTGGTGATTTAGCCCGAATACGAATAAAGAAATAACTGATAAATAAAAAGAAACTAACTCTCATGAGCATGGTTTATACATACCACCATTAACTGTAGGAAAGTACACCCTGTAACAAGTCCACCCACATAGTCTAAACGTCACCCATTATCGAAAAGGCAATATATTACTTTCGTCGATTACAAAGAACTAGGACTAACTGGTCCCATAATTTGTGATCATAGTTGGCTTTTGCTTTTGGTCGGTGGTATACATTGCTGTTTGTCGCTGTTGGTCTGTGTGTGTGTGTGTGTGTGTGTGTTTGTAAATAATATATATATATATATATATATATATATATATATATATATATACATATGTATATTTATGCATGTGTATATGCGTATGTATATACATATTCTTATTAATTTACATACATACATATATATATATATATATATATATATATATATATATATATATATGCATATAATATTATCTATAATGCATATAATATTTATCTATAATCATATATATGTATATATATGTATATATATGTATATATATATATATATATATATATATATATATATATATGTATCATATATATACATATACTTATGTATTTATTTATATATACACGCATATATGTATATATACATCATATATATATTATATATATATGTATATTTACTTTTACTTTTATGGCAAAACACATTACTACTACCTCTGTTGCAATTGTCACTGTCCTATCGATAAGACCTATAATAATATGGAAATCAGCCGTCAGGAAATATGCCGTTTATTCAGGCGAGCAATTCGACACTGAAAGCCCAAATATCTCAACTTTACGCCGTATATGAAATGAGACCCTTTACAGCATTACAGAGGAGTAGAGAAACTGCCTGCTTAACACCAGTCCAAAAGGGCTAGAGATACGGAGCTGCGAAAATAGTCCTTAAAAAGAATTACTTGACTTGACTCGACTTGCGCGCTGGCTTTAACGGTATGCCAAATTATCCTTACTCCACTATATTATTTTTTTAATTATTATGATCATTCCTGCTGTACTTTTATGAGACTATCATTATCATTGTCTTCTTATCGCTTCTCATAATCGCTTAATGAGGAGTTAATATCCTATTAATGACTGATATGCTATTCATATTATGGGTGTAATGAATGAAATAATGACTATTTTGGCATTACTAATCAATAGCCATTCATGATATAGGCAAGGTATTACACAGTCTGAAAAAAAAAACTATTTGGATAAAGGACAGATTTATGATTTATGACAACAATGCGATAATATGTGATAAATGCCAGGTGTACTTAGACACGCGATTCTTAGCATATACTTAATTAAAGGTTTATGGATATTACTCTACCTTTTCGAGGTCTGCACAAACACTATTGGTCACAACATTAAGAGTGACTAGTTTGGAAGTCTGAATGTTTAGGAAAATTATATCCAAACGTTGAATAGAATTGATCATAATAAGAGTTATATATTGATAAGCCTCTCATATACACCCACGCAGACTGAGGTTCATTTTTTCATTCTTCGGACCGTAAGCAATCCCCATACAACACGCACTTCTGAATATTTCACGAAGGAAAGACTCGCGTTCTTTTTTAGGCTTTCCTTAAAGACAAAAAAAACAAAACAAAACAAAACAAAACAAAAAAACTTTTATTTTCACGAACTGATTACTTCGGGTCTGACAACGCTGTCTCTCCTAACGACTTCGATAGCGAATGTTTCTGCTGTCCTTGTGGTCGTTGTTCGTGACGTAAACTATGTAATTACCAGCGTGCGTATTTCTGGTGATTATTTATGCATTCTGCTGCTAGCGAGTGATTATTACCTGATGACGACGAAATTCTGCTTTCATGCGTTTGATTGTTATTCTATTTTTTTCCACAGGAGCTGGTATCATATATTTTTGTTTTCTTTTTTTAAGGCGTGAACTAATGTTACGGAATTATCATTATCCTTCCTTCCTTTGCGTTTCTTATTTCCATATTGTTAGTTATTGTTTTGTTAAATGCGTGATAATATTTTCCTTTGCCTTTATCATCAGTATTCTTATCATTATTACAGTGATTTCAGTGATAGACGTTATCACTTTTGTCATCATTATCATCATTAACGGCGAATAGTATCACTGGGCTGCTGTCTCTATCTGTGATTGCCTTTTAACTTATGAACTAATTGATTGTCATCATTATTATTGTCATCACCACTTTTGTTTTTCTTTATTTTGCTTTAATCATTTCTTTTTATATTCGTGCTATTTTTTTCTAATATTGGTAGTGTAGAAAAGTTATGAATGAGAATGCAAGAGATATCTCTCTTGTACCTTCGTCAACAATGCATAGATTGGTGAGATTGGAGACTATACATGTGTGTGTGTGTGTGTGTGTGAGCTCCCCCCCCCCTATACGGTGTTTATGTTCTCCGTCGCGATGTACGTCCAGCTTCATCTACATGAACCGTCATGGCGTTGGAAGTTCTATGATGGTCGTTGATCCTAAAACCACTCCCTTCTTCACCATAATTCGTGTAAGTTTATGGGAAGGAGGAATCAGCCTTAGGGCAAAAAAGGGTTGAGGGGAGACCTAGTTGAATGCTCAGAACCCGCAAGTCCTCACAAGAGATGTGCAGAATGCACCAACGTAAAAGTGAATGCAAGTCTTAAAAATGACAAGTGCCAGAGGACCTTAAGAATTCTTTAAGATAAATCAGATGGACTTAAAAACGGTAAAAAAAAAGCAAATAAGTGGCCCACCTGTGGAATATGGCAGGATGTTGTGCAGAATATGAATAGGATGGGGATAGGAGACGATAGGGTTAAAGACAGAAAGTAGGACAAGCAGGGAAAAGGAATGAAAAAAGGGAGGCATTAGAGTAGAACCAGAAGTACTGATTTTATTATCCCAGCTTAAAATTGTCTTACAATTTAACGCTTTCGATTGAAACCTATAAAACATCGAACTTCAGAGTCCTCATAGTATTGTCACGAAACCTCGCCCTTTTAACGCTATGGAATTGATGGGTTTGGTGTTGTTATCAATTTACTCACACTATAGGAATTCAATCTTTATCGTCTGGCCAAAGGTTGTATTCGTATTACATTTCTTTTCAGATCATAAAAAATAAAAATATCTTTAAAGTATTAGCATCTTACATAAGAAAGTTAAAAAAAGTATAATCCACAAGAGATGGGTATCTGCAGACAGGGCCCAAGCATTATTCTTCAGGCCCTGGTACTCGGGTAGAGTCGGGCCATATATACGTAAGGCCCGGACGAGGCTAGCCTACGCAGATCTCATTGAACTGAACTGTAATTCTTCTTTTTCCTTAGGGAGCCTTTTATGTCAGTATCAAGCAAGTCAGAAAACTTTTTCTTTTTAGGAAAAGGGATACGACGCGCAACAGCATCAATCATCACTATAGACAAGTCCAACACCAAGATAATCACATGTACAGAAGAATACTGACATTGCCTATATTGCCTACATATACTATGCTCGTTCTCGCCTAGTCGTACAATATATATATATCGCGCTATACCCCGATAAAATTTAACTTGTAATCCACTGGCGACAGGTATCTCCTTGCAGGGCTCAAGCATCCTCCTTTCGGGTCACGACACTTGGGATGAACCTGGTCCCATCCCGTACCCTTCATATACTATTGTGGTATTAATGATATGGTTGGGGGTGTGCGTGCGCGCGCATTTGATAGCTATACATCCTACGGCAAAGGAAATTGTAGGCTGCTTGGTATATATTTAGGAATGTACCTATCATATTCGGAGAGGTACAGCCATCCAAAATAAAGCTAAGCTTACGTTTTCTATACTTTCACTAGAACAAAAAGATTTATAAGTACAAACCAAAATAGCAGATGTGTAAAAAAAAAGAAAATAATAATAACACATGCACATGTGTATGTGTGTGTATGTGTGTGGATAGTCCAAGTTTCTTTTATCTAATATTGTTTTATACCTCGTTTTATTTCATTTGTATTCTGATTTCAATTATCTTATTCATTTATTTATCTAAGTAGTAATCTTGTTTAGGGTTACAGGAAAACGTTGCAGTGAAGGATTTATTAGCATCCAACCAGATTTTACAAAAATAGAGGAAACAAAGGTGCACTGACACAGGTACTCGAAGAAATATAGTTACACAGGAACGCAGAATATGGGAACGCCAAACACAGGTCACAAATACAGGAACAGTTTCGAAATCCACCTGGATTCAGGAATCCAGGTTCGAAACTGTAGTCTCACTTTCAATAAATCTAGTTTTTGTATTGTGTGTTTTTCTACCATAGTATCAATACGGAAGAGTGTTTTACCATTCACACACACACACACACACATATTTATATATATGCATATGTGTATGCGCGTGTTTGCACAAACATATACAAACACACTTGGTATTAGGTATTTTATAGTATATCATCAATTGCCAATACAGTTCTAAGTCACTAATTTGTTATATCCTTAATAATACTATAAGTGCGATGGATATCGTCAGTATCAATATCATACGTACGATTCTTATCACTATTATTATTACCATTATCATTATATCATCATTATCACTATCACTATCATTATTTTTATCATTATCAGTGTTAGTGTCAGTATCATTATCAGTGTTAGCATCAGTATCATTATCAGTGTTAGCATCAGTATCATTATCAGTGTTAGCATCAGTATCATTATCATCACCATAGTCATCATTAATGGTATTATCATTATCCGCCTCTTCATCGTTATAATAATCATCCTTATTATTACTACTACAACTACATTA